AACTAAAATAGTTGCAGCGTCATTTCTTCAAAAAAAATATTCATCCAATTTTGACAGAAATATTTTTTCCTCTGAGTCAGTGTTATCTTGGATATTTCAATTGGTATCTAAAATGTCCTTGTGTCCTTAAAAATATCAATCAATTAGTCCGACCGGCACCTGACCTGACTGGTCAACTATCATTATTTGCCTAATTTGTTATTAAATATCCCTCCCCATAAACTCACTTAACGCTCTTCTACATTTGCCAAATTTACATTCACTATAAACACAGTATTCACTAGGACCTAGAACTACACAATTTCTCTCTTGGAAAATCAATTCCCATATACATTGAAGGCAACACAATTCTTGTACCGCTATCAGACGAATGTATATATATTATTATATATTTATATCAAATTTCAGGCGTCTTAATGGTTATCATTAGTTCTTTAGTTGACTTCAGGCCTCACAGAGGAGAGGAAATATCAAAATGAAAAAAATGTCGAGAGAGGAGGGGAGGGAAGAGAAAAGTGTTTCAAAGATGCAAAAGAGAGAGATGCAAGGGCAGATAAAAAGGTGAGGTGAGTACAATGGAAGTAGTTGAATATGACATACAGTGGGGTGATGGTAGTTTGAAGTCAGAAGTCAACTGCCAGTCAATAGACTATTTTGCCGTATGAATATACGTTGTCCAGGGTGCACCACGTGGAGGTAAGTCTATCGCACACACCACGAACGCATATCTAAGCCCTTAAAACTGGGACGAAAATCATTTATCTGAATCTAATTGCTTTTAATAACACAACTTTAAATAAAAAATTGAATTGAATATTATATCATTTTTGTAACCCACAAATTTCTATTGAGCCTATCTCATAAAATAAATGCAGCCTGATTTTAACTTCCACGAGTTTACTTAATGGCACCACTAGTTCTCATCCACGGAACATAAGTACAAATATTTTTCATTTTTGGGAGACATTTATCGATCTTTACGTGAGAGCCACGAAAAGAAAGCGATGAGAATGTCAATGTCTATGAGTCCACCTAACCTTATTTCATTAGAACACATTGACGTCTCAGCCACTCTTGTGCTAATCAAGCCATGCATTAGAGAGTAAGTGACTTAATTAAATAAACGCACAAACCTCCGCCTTTGTGCTTTACCAGAACCAATACCACCCAATAAGTTGATTATTCAGCTAATTACACAAATGCTAACAAGGTGAGGGATATTGCAGCACATGATTGATGAACGAAAAGTGCAAAGGAGAGAAAATGGGCGTGAGACGAATTGCCCAAACGACCTCATACATACACACACACACACACACACACACACACACACATGCACACATACACGATCTTAGCACGTTAATCCCACTACACAAGCTCTGTCTATAATTGAAAAAGAAATTATGAGGTAGAATTCACAAACCAAACGAAAGTAATGCTGACAGATTGATAATTTGTTATTACTGAGCTATGGGCAACAAAAAATTGCCCACATCATAAAGCGCAAAAACTGGACACGGTAAGAAGCACACTGCCTAGGTCATTAAGAAACATGAGTAAATTTAGAATGTGACACACGACGCGGAAATGAAAACTCAGCTAAGGAATAAAATCGGCACAACTAAGAACAGTATTGGACAATGTTCGCAGCTTGTATGCGCCCAGCAACTTTCTGCTGTGAATCATTGTAGAAGATGAATGACGGTGTGCGGTAACTATACCACCAATGTCATGATGGCTTAGAAATAAAAATGAATAGACAGCCTTCAATTTGGTCCAAGTAATGAAATTCAGCAATAAATTATATTTGACAACAGAGGTGAGTGAGAGACTTACCTCCACGTTTTGCACCCTGGGCAACGTATACTCATACGACAAAAAAGTCTATTAACTGCACCCTGGGGAACGTATACTCATACGGCAAAAAAGTCTAACACCCTGGGCAACGTATACTCATGCGACAAAAAAGTCTAAACTGGTGCACCCTGGGCAACGTATACACGGCAAAAGAGTCCGTGGTGCACCCTGGGCAACGTACACTCACACCTTACCTCCACGTGGTGCACCCTGGGCAACGTATTCTCATTCGGCTACCTCCACGTGGTGCACCCTGGGCAATGTATACTCATACACCTCCACGTGGTGCACCCTGGGCAACGTATACTCACGATAGACTTACCTCCAGGTGGTGCACCCTGGACAACGTATACTCAAACGGCACGTGGTGCACCCTGGGCAACGTATACTCATACGGCTCCACGTGGTGCACCCTGGGCAACGTTTACTCATACGGCTCCACGTGGTGCACCCTGGGCAACGTATACTCATAAGGCACCACGTGGTGCACCCTGGGCAACGTGTACTCATACGGCAAGTAAGTCTATCACGTGGTGCACCCTGGGCAACGTATACTCATACGGCAAACAAACGTGGTGCACCCTGGGCAACGCATACTCATACGGCAAAATGTGGTGCACCCTGGGCAACGTATACTCATACGACAAAAAAGTCTATTAATTGGCAGTTGACTTCTGACTTCAAACTACCATGACCCACTGCATTTCATATTCGACTAATTCCACAGTACTCACCTCACATTTTTTCTACCTTTGTGTCAGTCTGCCTCTTTTACGTCGGTGAATCATTATTCTGTCTCCATCTCGACTTTTTTCACTTTGATATTCCTCTACCTTTCTGCGAAGCCCGAAGTCAACTAAAGGGCTAATGATAACTATCATAACGCCCCCCATTTGAAATAAATATTTGACAACAGACAGGAGTACCAAAAGACTTCAATATTTTCCAACAGTAAATAAGAGAGTAAAGATTTCTAAAAATTAAGATTGTTAAAACACGGAAAAGCCACCACCACAATTATTTGCCATTAGACTCTACTATGCATACCTGCGATCTGCCGTAATAGAAAGCCGGATTCGCATCGTGAGTTGAAGCCCCGCCAGATGAGAGCATGAGAATTAAGGTCACAACAACTGGAAGCCTAAAATTAAAGACTGCCTTCAGCAGGGATTGGTTTAATAATAAATTCAACATGTCAGTAATTTACGCATTAAATAGTACATATAAGAGTTACTTAAAGAGTTAAAGTAGTAAGCGAAGTTTCAAATACGCATAATTTGAAGTTGCTTATAATTGAATGACGACCAAAAACTTACAACACGCCTAGAGAATAAAAGAGTATTTGAAGGCATCTTGAAGCCGACCGTTTGTAGCGAACCCGGTAGAGAATCGCAATACTGAGGAACGCGGTCCACACACGTGACGCCGTACAAGCAATGAAAAATATGGCGAAATGAATGTGATCTCCATATACTGAAATGCTTCCAGTATCTGAAAGAAAAAGAGCGCGTACTTTAACTTTCGAACATGATTGTGAAGTTTCCACTGTAAAACCCCATTCTACTTCAGCTTGAAACCTGCGAGCTGTTAATTGTTCATGTAGTAACAGAAAAAGCTTACTCGAATCGAACGATTTCCAGAGCGATCGGACCACAAGATTCGTGCAAAACACCATTACAGAGGTTATGAGGCAAAGTAAGAAGCGATAAGGCATTCGACAAGCCTTTTTTGTCAATAGCAGGACAGTTAACACCCATGTCTAAAATCGATTGTACTTATTAATTGTAAGTAGGTGGACATTAATCTCGAAATGTAATTGGCTTACACAACAGAGTACACTGGCCCAAGAAAGATAGACAGCTGCTCGCTCCAGAGTGCTGTCATAGAATTGTGGATCCACATCTACCAAAGTAGCCATTCCACCCAAAAGAAACATGATGGGAGCATAGAGGAAGGTCCCGATCACAAGTCCCCCACTAATCTAAAAGGGAGAAAGTTAAAGAAATGCAAACAATTCAAGCGTTTCGAATTAGGAAGATCAGACATTCAGTGTACAACCGCTATATGGGATAAGTTCACATTTTAAAGAAATGTTAACAAGCAGCAGAACTGAATGCAGACGTAAGTTAAAACCACTTAGACAACCCCTGTTCGATAATTTCACAGACCCATTTTTACCAAAGGATGCCTTTTTCAATGCAACGAGGGATAAACAAACAAAAGATTAAGAAAACAATTGTGTATTGTAAAATAATTTATTCCGATTCAAGGTATAGAGATTTTTTAATTTAAACTTGTGTTGCGATACTCTATCTTTTCCAAATAGATTAATTATTGAATACTAAAATGTGATAGAAAAATCAAACAATCTATACACTATTTATTGAGGTAATAAAGCAACAAGACTGCTTATTAAACATGGCTAACTTTAATTTAATAGTTTAGTTTATATAGCATTTATTTTCGATATAGTAGAAATTTCAGAATAATTAAAAATGTAAGGGATAA